AGATGTTGAAGTGCAGAATCTAAAAGCTGCAACAGTGCATGTCTATGACTACTATAAGCCAGGTGAGATTTCACTGACATTGGTGTAAAGTAACTATTCTACCCCCCACTCAGACATAATTATGGCTGTGACCCTAATTCCCTTCAACCCCCTTATTCCAGTGCATGTCCTCCTGCAATTTCAAACTTGGGTTTCCTCTGTACAAAATTTCAATATTCAGGTACCCAGTGGCTTAGAAAAGTTCTTGAGACAAGGCTGCCTGGCACTAGGATTATGATGTGGGGTGTTATGTGTTCCATGACTATGTTTTTTTCATCTAGCTTCAATATAGAAGACTTCTCTCACAATTTGCCATGAGTTCTCCAGCTTTTAAGCTTTCTTGAGAATACTTAGGCACTTATTGAAAATCAGTATTACGTAGTGCTACCCTGATCCACTAGAAGGCAGAATTTAGCTGTATGCATTTCATGTAAAGTGTAATAATCCTACAATCCATTGTGTCCTGCCATATCTCAGAGGAAAATAGGAAAATAATTTGTTACCCTTTAAAGCTCTAAATGAATTATTAACACAGAGAAGAGAGATTTTGATTATATTTTGAGTCTTTCTGATTATTCCGTGCTCAGTATGAGACAAAACAGCAGATGGAACATTAAGAATTATTTTTTTAAAAAAATTTGAGAACAAAATGGAAAAACTGCCGCTGGAGATTTCAAAAGCAGCACTATGTGTCATATACTAAATTCCATTCTTGTTCCCCTTTCCACTGTGGCAAGAAAAGGACACTTTTTAATCCAGCTATTACAGACCTAAATATTGACACCTAATATGCTCTCCCTCTGCTATTTCATCCTGTACAAGAATTTTTGTGCTTAGTACATACAATTTAAAGAGTGTTATCTGACATGAAAATACTAATTATTACTAAATAAGCCAGGCTATCAGGACACGCTGTGGAAAGGTTTTTTATTTACAAAAGATGTCCTTGCATTAGAAGGTATCACAGTGCACAAGGTGATCTTTTACAGCTGTGTGGGATACATGTTGTGGGGACAGATTGCTGGCCTGACCCACTAGAGACATTTCTTTGTTCCTGCATTCACAGTCAGAGGAGTGAAGAATTAAGGCAGTGGGTTGGTTGTGCTACTGAAAAAGAAGTTTGGCACTACCGTGCCATGCAGTCCTGCAGCTCACCACCCTGTCCCTCCCCTCTTGTTTCTACAGATGAACGCTCGGCAAGAGAATATGCTTTCCCCTGCAGTTCAGGTTAGTGCTAACAGGCTTCCAGCTGGGACAGGGCAGAGGACTGCTGGTAAGCAGGCAAAGCATCCCACCTCTGCTCTGCATTTTATCCTGTCATGTGATGTAGAGCCTTCTTGGAATGCAGGTTGAATTGGGATCTACTTACTGGTTGTGGGCACAGTTTCTAGCCCAGGTATTAATCTCATTGAGGCTTGAGCATACCCTGGGAGGTTAAAATGATCTCTTTTTATTTTATTTCCATGCAGTCCTCACAGCATCCTAAGTCTAAGTACAACAGGAAATGCCTATGTCAATGATAAAAAGATATTGCAACTCATCCTATAAGAGTCTCTTAGTCCACAGACACCTTCCTAAAAATTCATCAGGCACTTTTAATTTTCTTTCCTTTCTTTCTACAGATACCTCAAAGCAGGTTTCCTCCTAGTATGCTCTGACTCTGCAACCTGAGTTTTCTGCCTGCGTAGAGGGAAAACTTTATTGCTCCAGCTCTTCCCTTCCCTGCTGTGTTGGAAACACCCTATTTCCTTTGCCCTATGTTTCTATGTGAAAAGTGGCTTAATACACATTAGTTTGGAAGCAGGTGAAATAAAGTATGTGGAACCTGGAAAGAAGGCAGTGACTTGACAGTTGAAGATTTCAGTGCCTGAAAAAGAGAGAAACACTGTGCATGTTGTGGTTACATACTTTGCATTTGGTCACCATAGTGATTTAAATCTCTCTCATCCCCAAGTCCCATCTCTGAGCTCCCTTTTCAATTCAATTAACTCAATAGTTGATCTGCAACCAAACTCCATGAAAAAAAAAACCAAACTAATTTTTAACCCTGATCTGGTTTACTACCTGATCCTCTGAGTCATTTTTCTGTCATCCTCTGAGTCATTTTTTACAACTGAAGAGTAGGAACAGGCAAGGGAATGCTAAGGAAGAAATACTTTACCAGTTCATTCAGACAGAAAAGAACTGTACAGCAGTCTTATGAAGGGAGAGCATGAAACCAAAATAACACTCACTACACATTCACTGCATATTTAGACTCTGACAACACAGTCCCATCCTGTCAAGACATTAACCCCAATGACTAATCCTTACCTGTGGCACTACTTAAAAAAGACAACAATCTGAGGAATTTCAGGATGCAGTACATGCAACAAGACAACAGAGTGTATGCAGATGGCCCAGAGGGAATTGCAGTGCCATTAGGGAGATAGCACTCATAAAAAGGGGGATACTGAATAAGAAAAAATGGGTACTAGTTTCACAGAACTGATTGCCAAAAGATAAATTACTACGACAGTCATACCAAAAATGTATTAAGCTATGAAGTAAGGTATGAAGTCAACAAGCCCAGGGGCAATGGAAAAGAAGTGAGCAAGATAAGCTGGGAATTTGGGAAGTGATGAGCCTCTAAACAGGAAGTACTTTGGGAGAAAAAAAAGGGAAAAAAGGAACATGAAGTGAAGCAGGTCGTGTGACAAGGATTGCTTGTGTTATCCCTGTGTAGTAGCCCTTTGCCTGATAAACACAGCTTGCAAAAGGGCAGCAAATATTTTTTTTTGTTTTCTCTGACCATTCAGAACAATTGGTCCATAAAGTGAGCAGAACCAGCCCTTCCACATGGGGACAAAAGGAAAACAAAAGTCTCACAGCAGTGCTTAACAAGCATTTAGAGGAGGTAGAAAACCTGAGGAACCAAGTGATACATTCTCTGGACAGCTGATGCAAAAAGCAGATAGGGTTGAGTTCAAGGAAGCAAAAATACGAAGGGACAAACCTCCAAGGATTGTTCCCCTAGCATTGTCCCTTCCCAAGACATGGTAGCAGTCAACAGAGACTGTTCAATGGTGCTCTGCAAAGGGAGCAAAGTGAGACCTGTTGCCTGTCCTGGTTGCCTTCTTGGCAAGTCTCTTCCTCTGGATATTTGGGCTGGACTGGAAGAGCTTTGGGATTAAAGCCCTCTGATCTGTTGAACTTCAAATAAGAATGTTGTAAATAAAACCTGAAGTCTGTAACCCAGCATGCTCACTGTGTCCGTGAGCCAGGCTCTCCCATCTCTAAATAGACATGTGCCAAGGATCTATCTGCTTTACAGTTCATGGGATAAGATTGCCATGAAATTAGATCCTGATAGAAGCAGCCCACCAAGATTCCTCTACTTCTGAAGATAGGATATCTTGGCACCTTGTACCTGCATGGGGCAGATAAGTGAGAAAAACAAGTGTGTGAAATATGAATACAAACAGATATTTCCAGGCTGTGGTTTCAAATCAGATAGATGTTATTCAGCTGCAGATGAGGGGTTGAGGAAGCTGGCAAACCAGAGAACTGAAAAAAAGCTGCTGTGTGGCAAGCTCTCGTAAGATAGGAAATGTACAGCAGAAGTCAGTGAGCTCTTTGCCTCTTGAATTAAATATTAGGGAATGCAATAAGTGGCTAGTCTGTGCTGGATGGACAATCTGATGCTTGCTCAGTTCTGTGGCTGTTGAAAAGTGCTCTCTGTCCTTGGTGACATCCATAGGAAATACCTTCCAGGGCAAGAAAGGAACCCTTGTAATGTGTAAGCAAAGGTAGGGCTGGTGGCCAGGAGACTTAATTCCACCACCTCACTACAAGCAGCTGTGTGGATCTTGGTTGCCCAAGTAGTCTGGAGGTAACTGGGAAATTTCCTGCAAAGTTTTGCTGCTTTAATCTGTGAAAAAAGAAGGTCCAGAAGAGCATAGTGCAGGCAGCAGCTAACAGGCATTCTGGTCACCAGCATCTCAGACAGCAAGGGATTTTTCTGCAAAGAGAAGCTTTTAAAAGGAGTGGGAAGTAGGCTGCTTGAAAGGAGGATGACTGTAAGCACACAAGATGGCCCTAAATGGATTCTGGCCTTGTTAGGGCACTATTATAAAAATAAATGGCATATTAAAAATCTGTACATGAAAAAAGTAGTCTGTACAATGACCAGTCCACTACAAGAGACAGGGTGTTCCTTCTGAGGTACCTGAAGGTGATGGTCTCACTTCCAGGCAGAAGTGAGTAAATGGGTGTGGGAAAGGGAAAGAAGACAAATGCAGTTACATAGACTACATGCCTGTTTATATGCCTATACTATAAGAATCTATAGTATGCAGGCACAGTATGCAGGCTCATGCTTATGCTATGTGCTGTTTATAGAGATGTTTATATGCTGTTTATACAGATGTTTATATGCTGTTTATATGCAGGCTCATGCTTATGCTATGTGCTGTTTATTCACCTGTGTATAAGGTACATTTACTGCCACTGTGTTCCTGATAAACTGGAAAAAACCCCGTGAGCTCGGAAGGTGCACTTTTCCTGCAGGGCCACTGAGTGTCACCATCACTCCGTGCCTTGCTCTGCAAGATGCCGTTTCTCCAGGGAATAAATCTCCGTTTCTAAACCGGGCTGGAATGGAGGGAAAAAAAATCATCGGAATGAAAATGGGCTGCTTCTTCCTTTTCTCCGGAGCTCGGAAGAGCTGCACCTGAACCGTGAGCTATCTACGCAATGAATTCTGCCTTATGTGTAGGCAAAGCATTTGACAGGTTTCCAGCCAGACTCTCTAAACCATCTTACAATCTGCAGCATGATCCTCAGTGACAACAATTACGGGACTGAACAAGTGCTTTATCAGGAGACACTAAAAAGGCTGGGATCTCACCATTTGGGGAGCAGAATGAACAGAATAGATACCGGCCAGGTGCACTTGCTTTCCCTGAAACTATTAAGGACAGCTGAACCTGGTGGGCTGAAAGATCCAGTGGCTTCTTTTTTTCCTGGGTCAGTGGAGGTGAGTGAGAGCTTTCTTGTTTCACACCCCAGCAGGAGCAGAGTGGTGTGCAAGTCCACAAAAGACATGTACACATAGGTTAACTCTGACAGGAGACAATACTTCAGAGACACCCACATCAGCACAGTGTCACTGGCCTGATCCTGTTCCTAGCATTTTCATAGATGTCAGGTTTTTGGCCCTATAAACCTTTCATCCTACTTGCTGACTAACAGACCACAAAACAAAGAGCACAATAATACAGGAAACAATTAAAATAATTTATTAAAAATGTAATGCAGGCTCCCGTGATCAGATACCTTGTGCACACAAACATACTGATTGCATTTGACTGGCTTTGTTTATACCTACCTTCTCTCCATTTGATCCACCTTGATCCCTCCATTTCCCTGCCTGTGATTTTTATCCCAAGCATAGCAGTGCAGTTTTGAAAACCCTAAAATTCTCTTTATCAGTTCCAACATCCTCCCACAGCTGCTAACTACTCCCCCTCGTAAGTCCTAAAGCCTCTTTATTGCAGTATTTTCCCCTAGTCGTATTGCAGTAACTGCCCTTCGTTTGCATACATTCCAGAGTTTCCTCCTTTGAATCCACTTCAGTGGGTTTTGCAAGTGGGACAAATGGCTTAGTCGTTCATCCAGTTGTTGGGGCTTTTAGGCGTGGTTGATTCCCGGGGATTACTGTTTGCTGGGTTTCCTGCCTTGTCATTGTTTCTTTGTTCACTGTCTGACCTTTTGTTTTGAATAACCTTAAATATCTCCTTGAAAATCAGCCAGACAGTTTTCCATCTGAATTGGAAAAGAAGCCCTCAGCATTTAGAGCAAGTATGTTTGGTAATAGCCTAAATGCCCTCTTGTACGGTGTGTTTTGCTGATTTTTAGCCAGCAGCAAATATTATTCTGTGATTCTAAGTAAATTGGAATTCGCTGCAATTCATAATGGGAATTTTTTTCCTGTGAACTGATTGCCCAGCACTGTCATTACAGAGCCAGATGCAACTTTCTTACAACATGAAGCTCAAAGATGCCATTTGCAGGAGTGTTTATGGTGCTTATAGCTTCAGTGGTGCTTGAGCTTCTGCCCCTTGTACACGTAGATGGAATGTGACTCATTCTGTTTGTCTTTTGCTGCATCCCACTTGTCCTTGGTGCACGCGATGGCATTCTGAAGGGAAACTCACCAGCTCTCATCAAGATGAGTCACTGGTCTGACCCAATGGGCGTTTATTTTCTTAGAAACAAATATGTTGATCGTAAAATCATAGAATGCTTTGGGTTGGAAGGGACATTAAAGATCATCTAGTTCCAAACCAACAGGACATGGACAGGGACACCATCCACTAGACTGGGTTGATCAAAGTTGTTTCTCACACATACAACCTGAACTCGAACACTTCCAGGAGTGGGGCATACACAGCTTCTCTTGGCAACCTGTGCCAGTGCCTCACCATCCTACAAGAAAGAATTTCTTCCTAATAATTAATCTAAACCTGCTCTTCTTCATTTTGGAGCCATTGCCCCTTGTCCTGTCACTGCATGCATACATACGTCCTCTCCACTTACGATCTAAAGATGACAACATTACAGTTAAAAATTCGTAAATTTGCCTTAATCAACCACTCATACCCTAAACCAGGCAACTGACAGGCAACAAACTGATGCTCTTTGAGAGTAATCAAGAGAAGCAAGGCCCAAGTGCCTGCACAGCACAGCTTCTCTTCTAAAAGCTGCCAGTGAGCTCTGGCACTGTGGTTTTTTTTATGTTCATGCAGGTTTCTACTGTGCACCTCTACGTGTGTACACATGTAGAAGGCAAAAAACTGCCTGCTGCATCCTGTTTGTTCATCAAAGCTTGTTGCAGGTACCAACACAAACAGTTTACAACCTACATTCTTCTCCCAGGCAGCTAGCAACAGGATGAGAGGACATAGTCTTTAGCTGCTGCGCCAGGGGAGGTGTAGGCTGGACACAGGAGGAATTTCTTCATAGAAAGGGCGATTCGACATTGGAATGGGCTGCACAGGAAGGTGGTGGAGTACCCATTCCTGGAGGTGTCTAAGGAAAGACTGGACATGGCACTCATGGTCTATTGACATGGTGGTGTTCAGTCACAGGCTGGACTCGATGATCTCAGAACCGAACTGATTTCGTACTACCTAAAACGACTAGCACTTAACAAGGTTGATCAGTCTCCAGAAGGACGGACGGTAAAGCGAGACCCGGCAGAGGGGACACCCGCTCAGGCTGGCGCAGCACCAGGCTGTGACTCCCATCGGCGCCGTGACGCCTCGGTGCCAGCCCCGCAGGCACAGCAAGCAGCCGCGGGCGAGGAGCGGGGCCGGCTCGGGGCCGAGCCGGGCGCTGCTCCGCCGTTCCCGCCGCCGCCGCCGGGCTCGCTCCCGTCACCGGGGCAACGGGCAAGCGGCGCCCGGGGAAGGCACCACGTGCCCGGAAGCGCCTCGAGGGAGGAAGTGACGGAGCGCCGGGGGAGCCCCAGAGGCCGAGATTTAAAAAAAAAAAAAAAAAAAAAAAAAAAAAGAGGAGAAAAAAAACCCCCGATAAAACCAACAAAAAAATCGAAACAAGAAATGCAAAAAAGGGATTAAAGAAGAGGGATACGGGGAGAGGGGCGGGCGGAGCGGGCGCGGGTCCCGCCCCTTCGGGGCCGCCCCGCCAGACCGCGGCCCCGCCGGAGCCGCCGCCAGGTCCCGCCCCCGGCCCCGCCCGCCCCGACACCGGAGCTGCCGCCCCGCCCCGCCCGCTCGGCCGGGCCCGGCTGCCCGCGCGCGGGGGGCGTGTCGGGCGCGGCGGTGGCGGTGGCGGTGCGGGGGCTGCGGTGCGGCGGCGGCAGCACGGGTCCCGCGGGCGGGCGGGGGGCAGCGGAGCGGAGCGGGGCAGAGCCGCGGCGGCTGCAGGTGAGGCGGGGCCCGGGGCGCGGGCGGCCGCGGCGGGGAGAGTTCCCGGGGCCGGCGCGGGATGGAAGTTGACAGCGGCGGCGGAGCAGCCATTGTCTGCCCGGCCCGGCCCCGGGCAGCTCCCCCGGGCAGCCGCCGCCCGGCTTCGGGCATCCTGCGGCGCATTCCGCCTCCCGCCGCGGCGGGGCTGCGGGCACGGCACGGGCGGGCAGGGCGCCCGCACGCCGTGTCGGATGAACTTTGCTGCCGGAGTTGCCGGCGGCCTGGGTGGCTGCCGCCGCGCCGTCCCCTTCCATCCTCCCCTCCTTCCATCCTTCCTTGCCTCGCTCTCTCCCGCCGCCGGCCGGGCGAGGCGCCTGGCGGGGAAAGGCGGGCTGGGCACCGAGGGGTGGGGACCAGGTGGTGCCAGGGTCCTGCAGTGCTGGAGCGTCGCACCCAGTGCTGCTTCCAGAGCATCCCAGAGCAGTCAGCTTGTCCCGGCAGTTCCACACCTCTGCTTGTGTGGCTTGGAAACTGTTGTAGAAACATATAGTAGCAGCAGCGAGTATGCTGTAGTACGGGGTGCTAGCTTTGCTCCTCCAAACCTGTGGTGTAAACCCGTGTAAATCTTACGTGTTTCCTAACTTAGTTTCTCAAGGATGAAGTGACAAAACCACTTAGGAAAGTTAGAAATTGTTATGCAGGCAGCAGTCATGTCCCGGGGGAATGGATGGGGTGAGCAAGTAAAACTTTTCAACCTCCTACCTAGTGCTTAAGGATTAGAGTATTGTTTGGCTTGACTTTTTTTCTGCCCTTGTGCTTGAGAAGGGTCAAGAACTTGTAGATGGGCCACCTGTGGTGTTCTCGGTGTGTGCTGAGACCAGCAAGTGTGGGTTAGGCTTTGGAGTGGTCCATGTTCTCATGCTTGTACTGCTGCCTGAGCCAGTTTTCTCCCTTCTCCTTCCCGTCATTTTTGCTGCGTGGTCATTCGTGCCATGGTGCTAAAAAGCTTTTGTATCCTTCTGTGTCTGCCTTTTAGGGATGCAGTTCTAGCTATTGTTCAAAGGTTAATTTCCAGTAGTGGCCACGTTGTTAACTGTGTGTTGGTTTTCCTTTTTTGGTTTGTTTGTTTGGAAAATCCATGGTTTAATAATTTTTAGTAGGTTATCCATCTCACGGAGCAGCTAGCTGAGTCAAGTGATGTGATAGCCCAGTGATCACTAGGTTTTTGTGAGAGGAAAGTGCTTGGAGATGCAGTTGGAGGAGGGGACAGTGTGTAATTCTCCCGTTTTGTGTGGAAATTGCCTGTGTTTGGATCGGATTACACTAACATGGAGCTCCATCCTTAGATGAACTTGCTTGGGGAAATGCTGTGCCTTTTCACTTTTGTGTTTGAAAAGAGTTTTGCTGGATAACTCTCCTTGCTGTAAGTGACTTAAAATTCTTACTGCCCTTCTGCAAAGTGAGCGGATGCCTCTCCGTCCACGTCTCCAAAAGGCCTTCTGCCTACAGAGAGACCAAAATTTTTCTATGCCTCATGCCAGAGGTGTTTCAGTAAGATTCTCTTTATGCTAGGACCTAATTTTATGATCTAGATCAATATGGAACTCTCAAAAATGCTGGAAATCTTAGGAATCGGTGGTGCTGCTTCCTGAGGAAACACAGATTGATTGGTGGAGCAGAGCACCATGGCAGAAGCCTGGCTTCTCCTGGTGAAGCTGTTGAGGGCAAGGGTATTTGCTGTAGCTAAGGTGAACATCAGTTACATCCTTTCCTCTCTCATGGGCACTTGTGGCATCACAAGTAAGGTAATTCAACTCTGTAATGTGGCAGAAAATAGGGTTTTAGGGTACCTTTTCTGTAGCTGCCAAGTTGATCTAATGAGTGCCAGAAGCGAGGTGGAGGAGGAGTATCTGCATTGGGAAGTTGAGGTGGGCAAGGGAACATAAATTGTGTCCTGATGGCATCTGAGCTACTGGAGAACTTGATGCAATGTGTGTAGCTTCATGTGCCTTTTAGCCCCACTCAAAGTACTTTATTTATCCACCACAGTTTCATTCTTTCAAAAAGTCTGTATTCTTTCCCTTCTCAGTGTTTATTTTCAGGCTTCATTTAATTTTTCCTCTCTGGGGAAGATCTTTAAGGCAGTTGCTTCTTCAAGAGCTTTTATATTCTGGGTAGGTTTATTGACAGGCTGTTTCTAGCTGAAATAGAGTTGTGCCTGAAGACACTAGTGGCCAGTTAGGAGGAGGTGTGTCTCAGCTGAGGAGAAGGTGCTGAAGCAGTGCAGGAAGCCAGTTTTGCATCGGCAGGGAGGGAGATGCTTGGGTAGGGCTTGAGGGCAGAGGTGAAGATGTATTTGGAAGACCAGACTGGAGCAGCAGCACTCTGCTTGCCAGTTAAAGAATATTTCAGATTTTGAGCAGCAGAATTGAAGCAGCAGTTCCCTGATTTAGCCACCCATCCTCTGCAGAGTTAATGCTGTTGTCCTACTTTAAAGTCATCTGCTGCTCTTAGCACCATTTCAGAATTTAAAAAGTTATCTGGCTGAGAGTATTGTTGCGCCTCCTTTTCTGCTGCACAGGTCTGTTTGCTTATACACCAGGGAAATGTTTGGTGAAGTTTGTAAAGCGCAGAATGTGGATTTTAAAAGGGCTAGATAAAGGGCATGTGCTGCTGCTCTGGCTCCTGGAAGCTCATTTACAGGGGTCTCATTTAGAGACTTACCAGAAGTTTGGGTTTTTTTTAAATCTTGCATAGAGTTCTAAAAACTCAGGTTGGTTTTCTTTTTTTCCAGTGGAATTCTTTTGTATAATCACTTTTCTCTCCCTTTTCTGACTCTAGCCCCTCCTGCTGCTACTCCCTGTGTAGCTCATGTTTCTTGCTGCAGGAAACTCCCTGATCATCTCAATGTGCTACTCTTCTGCCAAGCACTCTCTTCAGTCTCACTTCTCTTCCTCTTAGCTGATGAAAGCCTTCTCCAGTCCTTTCTCAGTCGTGCAATTCACTGCAACTCCGTGCAATTCACTGCAACTCATCTTTCTGCTGCTGGAAGGTCTCCCTGGTTCTGCATGACCTCTTCAGCAGCTTTTGCCTCTCAAGTGTTGCCAGTGAACACTTTATCCACTCTGATTCTGACTCTGTTCCTCCTGAAAGGAACTTGCCACCACAGATACCAGATTCTAATCGAATATTCAAGTTAAGATGTGTTGGGAGCAACAAGTAGCTGGAAAGTTCATGCGATCAGAAGAAGAAAGAGTCAAGGGCTGGGGGCTAAACTGGGAGAAAGAGGGACTCTGTATCAGTAGGACATTGGAGCTGAGGGACTGGAGGAAGAGAGGATCAGAAATTGCCAAAGTGCATTGGAGGACTGGAAGCACAGTGCAATTTGCCTCAGTTTGCTAGTCTCTACTGTCAAGAGATCAGGTCTGTGACCAGAATTGTTTTAATGAGCTGCAGCTGCTTCTTCATTTCAGTACCTTTTTAAGAGTTCAGGATACTGTAGCTTGTAACTATAGCATGGCAATAAAAGTATGAAAATATGCACATTATGTTTCTGATGGTGGTAATAAAAGATTTAAACTGTGAGTAAGATTTCCGGGTGATTTTAGAATCCCAGCTTCCCTGGTCCCTATGAAGTAGCTAAGATGGGCAGGGAGACTGGTATTGAGATATTCTAGTACAAAAGCTGTCTAATATAATGAAATACAGTTTGGTTCTTTCTGCAGCCTGACTTAGTTTCCAGTTCTTTCAATGTAGATCTGAAGTCCATCTCAGCCTGAGCTCCCGGGATCCTGTCGCCATGGAGACCGAAAGTGAGCAGAACTCCAACTCCACCAGCGGGAGCTCCAGTTCTGGAGGAAGCACCCGGCCTCAGATCTCGCAGATGTCTCTCTATGAGCGGCAGGCAGTACAGGTGAGACATCCCAGGGTGTGCTCTGGGATGGCAGTGCATCACTGGAAAGTGGTGGTGAGCCCTTTTGTGTTCCTCTGCATCGTTGTGTGTCAAGGTGGGCCTGTGCTTAGACAACTGTCATCTTTTCAGATTTAGAAATTCTTATCCTGGACGTGATGTTTAGTTCTTGTAGCCTGAGGCTTCTTGTTTTATAGGTTACTCCTTCGGTGTCCAGCCTCCTAGATTTAATCTGTACTGTGATCCAGTAGATAGGTTTTAGCCTGCTGTTCTAGAGTATATCAGTTTGCCATCCCAGTTTCTCTACGCTCTCCATACGCAAACTACACAGGAACATTTGTCTGCCTGTGTGAGCATGCGCATCCCCAGATTCCTAAAGTTTATTAAAGTCTTGCTAAGTGTGATTCCCACTGTCCTGGAATACATCTGTGATTCAGTGTGTCACCAAATTTGTAACTGCACTATGGATTTGGTGATCTGGTGCCTGCTTTTTCATGTGCTCTAGGGATGTTCTCATGGCTGGCTTAGTTTGTCATTGCTCTCTTCAATCACATTTCAATGGCATGCAGTTTTTGACAATTGGGTTTTCGTCTTTATCTAGGCTCTGCAGGCACTCCAGAGACAGCCCAATGCAGCCCAGTACTTCCATCAGTTCATGCTCCAGCAGCAGTTTAACAGTGCCCAACTTCACAGCCTGGCTGCTGTCCAGCAGGTGAGTTGCCAAGAGGCAGAAGGAGAGGAGTTGGATCATTCTCTGGGGAAGATCCAGAGGTTCTGTTTTTATACAGTGCCTTGTGCACCGAGTCATCCTGATCCCTGATGAGACAATGAGTACCTAAACACATTGTTCAGAGTTAATACAAACTGCCAGTCAACTGGAAGCCTGAAGCAAAGATTAATTTATTTTTTTGGCTACAGAGCAGGGGAAGATAAAATTTGACATCACCATCAAGGAACTTGCACTTCAGAGGCCTATTACCACCCCCTGCACCTTCTTTAACTAAAAGATGGGTGGTTAAATCAGCAGTGGATGCAGTAGTGCTTAAAAACTGTATTAAAGGGATCAGTGGGTAGTTGCTTCTCTGAGAATAAACATTTGTGTTTGCATGAGGTTTCAGGCAGCATTCTCTGAAATTTCTGTCTTGGAACTTAGTAGCCATGTTTTCTTTACCAGCAGGAGGGTAAACCAGTCCAACCAGGAGGATGTCTCTAGTTGAGACATACACAGATCAATATAAATCAATATATTTTATGATACATAAATGTTGAGTGGTTTTTTTTTTTTCTTTATCAACTTTGCTCACCTACTAGACTTAATCATCAGCTCAAAATGGATTGTGTGTGACATGAATACATTCTTTTTGTGTAACAATACCTCAGTAGCTGTACTCCTTGGCAGTCAGTCCAGGATGTAATTGTTCTCAAAATCCCTGACTGCAGTCTTGTACTATAGAAGAAATAGAATCCTCTTGTCAGTTTTGCACAAATCTTAGTTACAAAACTAACTAAACTCATGCAGGGGAATTCCCCTGGCATCAGAAGGGGGAAATAAGTCTATCAATATTTATATTCTTCCACAAACCATATGGTCTCTAATTTGAATTTTGTTACTTGGAGTGCTATCATTGCTTTGCTACTAAACTGTCTAATTAGCCCAACAAATTGCTAATATTGCAGGGAATGTCTGGGTGCTAACAGTGGATTCCAGCATTGGGGTGAGGGTTGCAGTGTGTACTAGGACAGGCTGGGCAAGAGTAATGCATGTACCCATGGGTGGAAGGCCTGGAGGTCATACACTCTGAGGGTAAGGGACTAGGTGTTCTGACAGAGCCTAATAATTGGGCTGGATTGAAAGGGTTGTTCAGGCACTCATTTCTCTGCCAATCTCTCCTGCAGGCTACAATTGCAGCCAGTAGACAGGCCAGCTCCCCCAACACTAGCACCTCGCAACAGACCACCACAACCCAGGCTTCTGTAAGTAAAACTGCTCCCTCACACACATATCAGAGCCTCCCTCCCCCTCCCCACCTTGTTCTGTCTCCTGCTTGTCTTTTAGGATGCACACAGCTTCTAAGAATCCTGGGAATCAACAAGATGCAGACAGCTTTGAGGATTTGGGGTGCTGTTGTTATTGGTGGGGCTTGAGGAAACCAGATGAGGTTTTTAGGTGGGAGAGGCCTCTTAGCTGAAAAGGTAGACATAGATCTCTGTTTGCTGAGGCTTTGGGGATACATTGTCATGGATTAAAAAAGGATCAGGACTTGTAAGAAGGAGGAGTCGTGAGCAGCTTTTGTCTTAGGCCGAGCAGTAGTTTGTTGAATGAGAGGATGTCTGGTTTTGTAGTGAGTTTTGAGGAGCTTGGATTTGCTCAGAGAGTAGATAAGTTGGTAGAGAAGGTTTTGTGGGTTTTTTACCTTTACTTGGGAGGCTGGAGAAAATGATGTATTTTTTTGGATCTCTTATTGCAGTTGCATGCTAACAGTGATTCTCAAGCTCAGCATACAAATGAGGTCAGTATCCAGGGTTCTGGCTAATATAGATTGTGTAGCCTGTAGGACAAGCCCTCTAAGACAAGAACTTTCTTCTTCTTGGTCCCTGTGGGATACAGGAAAAAAATGTAAAATGTCCGTTCTGACTTTACCCCACTAAGCATATTTGTACTTATTTCTTTGCCTCCATCTCTTCATATGTGATTTGAAGCTTTTTTCTCTTCTAAGATCAACCTTGCCACCACGTCAGCTGCTCAGCTGATCAGTCGGTCGCAGAGCGTGAGCTCCCCGAGCGCCACCACGCTGACGCAGTCTGTGCTCCTCGGGAACACCACCTCACCTCCTCTCAACCAGTCACAGGCACAGATGTACCTTCGGGTAAGAGATGGGCATCAAATGTGTCCTGACCGTGAGCCCCACTTAGCAGCCTCTGCAGAGTTTCACTGCTTGGGATTACCAACACCTACAGACTAACCTTGCTTTAAGGCTGTTGCAGTATATTTTAAAATTGCATGGGGAAGGTCTCATCCCTGAAACCACAGGTTTGATTCTGGGCTAGCCTTTGAGATAGATGAGCTGTGTATTGTGTGGCTCAGGTGAGAATATTAACAACTCTGTGTGCCTCTGCTCTGCAGATGTTAAAGGTTCCATAGCCCTTCTCAGTAGAGTGTAAATGTGAAATACATGTCCTAGGCTTGAATGTAGCTCACAGAAATAAAGCTACTGTTCTGGTTCAATGCTGGAGCAGATACATGGTAAATTACTCTTCTTCTGCTTGCTGAGCTCAGGGATGTAAGTCAGAATTCAAGTAAGCCTAGACAAATAAATCAATGTGAACAAATGTCATCCTTTTAATTGCTTTGAAGTACAGCTAGGTAGAAAGCATTAGGCTTGACTGTGGAGTCAAGTCTGGGGTTTGGGTAGCTACTTTCTGTTTTCCAGTTGACTTCAGATACAGATTGTAATCCCCTACTTTTCAAGCAGCACTAATCTTGGATGTATGTTTTTTATCACTGTTGTTCAACCAGTTCTAGATAACGCAGCCTTGGGCAGTCTGTGGGAGTTAGCCGAGGCCTATGTTAGATAGAGGAGTGCTTGTTTCCATAAGGAAACTGTTCCCAGTTTCCTGCTTCAGAGGGTTATATTCAATGTTACAGTGCAGGGAGGGCTGGTGGTTTTGCAGTGAGTGACATTGCAGCCTAGTGTTCCTTTATGATCTGTTTGCTTGTGGGTTTTTAGTCTTCCTTTCTCTCTTCTACCTCTGTTCCTTGCACTGCACACCGCCTGATCCCAACAGCCGCAGCTGGGGAACCTGTTGCAGGTGAACCGGACCTTGGGCCGCAATGTGCCTCTCGCCTCCCAGCTCATCCTGATGCCCAATGGGGCTGTGGCTGCTGTCCAGCAGGAGGTACCACCCACTCAGTCTCCTGGGGTCCACGCAGACACAGACCAGGTCAGTGACCATCCTCCCTTTCCCCTGCTTCTGCCACACCACACTCTGCTCTTTGTCTCAAGCTGTCCCTGTATAGCACATTGGAGCTATTTTATCCCCAGCCCTTGTTCCTCTGCAGGCAGGAGATTTTTGCCACCATGTTTTCATGTTTGCTGTCTGTCTTCAGAGATGAAATTAGTTTCTGCTTAAAATTTCTGAGGTGAGCACAGGCTGGATCAATGCCATCTTCACAGTTTCTTGGCTGTGATTATGTGAAAAGAACTCTTGAGTTCTATGTACAGTTTTCAGTCACATTCCAATTAAGAGTCTTTGCCAGAGGTAGTATTCCTTCATCCAGTTGGTTCATTGTTGTAAAGATGCCAAAGAGTTGTTGAAGCAATTTTTTTTAAGAAGAGTCAACTGTGATCTAATTTTGGAGATAACGTGGCATTTGGAGCGGAAGTAAATACAGAGGATGGCAGCACCAAAATGCAGAGTGATATTGGAAAGGGTGTGGGCCATGAGTAGATCCGTGGTCACAAAAATTGAAAATGAATGACTGGTCTTTAAGAGGTAACTCAGTGCTTCTAGAGCTGTGCTGAACTCCCCATGCCAGGGTATGGCAGGCAGGTCTGAAGTCTGTCCCATGCCCTGGAGAAAAGACTGTGTCCCCAGATGCTGTTTACAAAGTGCCATGAGATCTGTTATTTCCATCAGAGATTGGGCAGGAGAGAGTTCAGGATAATGTGCTTCCTGGGGAGGGCCGTGCTGAGCTCTGCCCTGCAGTGTTAGCAGCTCCTCACATGAGACCTGAGGCATGAACTCAGCCTGCATCCCCAGCAGTGTGTTGCTTACGTGTGCTCTGTCACACTCCCGGCAAGTACTGTGTATAAAGCATGTGGATTCTGTTTGGTGTGTGTGTCTCTAGGTGCAGAACTTGGCTGTGAGGAGCCAGCAGACCTCTGCCGCTAACGCCCAGCTCCAAGGCTCTGCTCAGAAGACGGCCCTGCCAGGCAGCTCCCAGGCCTCAGGCTTACCGCAGGCCGCCAGCACGGGCCAGAGCATGGCCGTGGCCCAGGCCTCCTCCAGCGGGGCAGGCCAGTCCCTCAACCTGAGCCAGGCAGCAGCGGGCAGCAATGGTGTCTCTGGGGGCGTGGTGGCCACCGGTGGGAGCCAGCCCTCAATGGCACTGAGCCAGAGCTCCTCAGCAGGTGCCACTGGCAGTTGCCAGAGGAAGGGCACTGGAGTGGTTCAGCCGCTGCCCGTGGCAGCTGCCCAGGCCGTGACTGTCAGCCAGGGCAGCCAGACAGAGACGGAGAACGCAGCTGCAAAGAAGGGTGACACAGACAGTGGTGGACAGCAAACGGTGGGCATGAACCTCACCAGGACCGCTACACCAGCACCCAGCCAGACGCTGATCAGCTCAGGTAAAAAACTCAGCTCTTTTTCTCTTCAAAATCATTGGGCCTTCACAAGAAGGACATTTGGAAGCCTGGTGGTAAAAGGTTTTCCAGCATGTCTCCCAGCTTTGGTCCTCCCAGAGGCTTGTCTCAAGGGGTTATCCCTTTCTATTAGCACAAGAAGTTGATTTAATCCCTCAGGTCCTCTGCAAGTAAGCTGTCAGTTATTTTGGAGTTTAGTGTCTCAAAGCAGTGCAGTGGCTGCCTTATTTTTGTTGCTGTTCCCAGCTGCACTGTTGCTAACTTTTGTTCTCTGTTTTTTCTTACTCTGTTTTTGTATAGCAACATATACGCAGATCCAGCCACACTCGCTGATCCAACAGCAGCAGCAGATCCACCTGCAGAAGCAGGTGGTGATCCAGCAGCAGATAGCCATTCACCAGCAGCAGTTCCAGCACCGCCAGTCCCAGCTCCTCCACACAGCCACCCATCTCCAACTTGCTCAACAGCAGCAACAGCAGCAAGCAGCATCTCTGACCCAGCAGCAGCAGCAAGCTCAGCCTCCGCAGCAGCAGGCTCCCCCTCAAAACCAGCAGCAGGCACAGACCCTTGTTGTGCAACCTATGTTGCAGTCCCAGCCACCGCATTTACAGCTCCAGCAGGACAGTCCGTGCCAGCCAGCCACCAAGTCACCTGTTCCTATCCAGTCAAAATCTCTGGTCACCCCCATCAAACCCCCTCAGCTTGGGCCTGCCAAAATGTCAGCAACACAGCAGCCTCCTCCACACATCCCAGTGCAGGTGGTGGGCACTCGGCAGCAGGGCTCAGGCCAAGCCCAAGCACTGGGCTTGGCTCAGATTGCTGCAGCGGTGCCGACTTCGCGGGGAATGCCAGCTGTAGTCCAGCCTGTTTCCCAAACCCATGCTGCTTCCCCATCATCATCTTCAGCTCCAGCATCCTCACAGGAAGCTCCCCCTCTCACCACAGGGGTGAATTTGGCACAAGTTCAAGGCACAGCCCACATGGTGAAGAGCCCAGCTTCCTCTCCAGTTGTGGCTCAGATGCCAGCAGCATTCTACATGCAGTCTGTCCAGTTGCCAGTAAGTGATACCATTGAGAAGGAGAATAGCATATGGATTCTCTTTGTTCATTCCTAGGACACCAATCGCAGTCCAGGCCCAGGTCAGTGGGATGGGATGGGTAAGGGGTTTGGGGAAAGGGATGTGGAGACTTTTTTACCCTCAAAACCACTAATTCCAGTCCAACCCCTGAGGTTACTGACTACAAGTGTTTCTCTTCCACATTATTATTCAAAGGCTTGCATGAAGTTAATAGGTGAGGCTCAGAGCCTGCCCCAGATGGGGTGGGTGTCCATATCACATACTGAGTATCCCATTTTACAGTGGGGTTTGGTTCACCTTGGCTGGCTGCTGGATCGCCACCAAGTTGCTGCTCCATCACTCTCCCTTCACAACATAACAGGAGGAGAAAAATACAGTGAAAAACTTGTGGGTTGAGATAAGGATGTGGAGATCACTTGCCAATGACCATCATGGACAAAACAAACTCAGTTTATGGAAATTATTTATTTTACTGCCAGTTTAGTGTAGGATAATTGGTAGTAAGAACAAATGCAAAAAATACCTCCCTCCTTCTTCACAGGCTCAGCTTCACTCCTGACTCTTCTACCTCCTCCTCCTGAAAGGTTCAGGAGGACAAGAAGTGGGATCTGTGGTCAGCTCATAAGGTTTTGTCTCTCCCTCATGCTTTTCCCTTGCTTTAGCATGGGGGAATCCCTCCGATGGGATACAGCCTTTCACAAAGGATATAGTCCTTCGTAAAATCCTTCTCCAGTGTGGGTCTTTCCCACAGGCTGCAGTTTTTCATTAACTGCTCCAGTGTGGATATTTCTGGGTTACAGATCTCTTGGTGTGTGGTACCACCCACTGACTATGCCTCAGAGGATCCCCTAGCAACAGGCTATGCAGAGGAAAACTCAAATTCCATAGGCCTTGTCCATGCTGTTGTGAATTGTCCATCTAGGGCCTTCCTAAATCCCTGAGATAACAGCACTTTGCCAGCTCAGGTCATGGAATCATAAATAATTTGAGTTAAAAGAGCCCTAAAGATCATATAATTCCAGCACCCCTGTCTTGGGCAGGGACACCTTTCAGTGGACTAGGTTGCTCCATCCAGCCTTGCTTGAACACCTTTTTAGCCAGTTGCTGAGACTCTTTCTAAACTCTGTCTGCTTCTTCAGGAAGGTCTCGCAGGATTTGTCTTGATTTGTAGAGCAGGGGGTCAGTTCTGCTCCTGGTGAATGTGTGTTCCCTGCTCTTTCAACTCTTCATTGAAACTGATCTGATTTATCTAAATAACCTGTTTGGAAACTGCTGGGTGAATGCCATTCCATTTCTTCCTGCAGTAATGCTTTGAGGTTCACACAGTGTCTTGGTCTTTGCCAGTGTACAAACATGACTTGGGACATCAGATCCTAGTCTGTGGCAGTGAGTCTCCTCAAGCTTTGTTCCTTGTTAGGCAAATGCTCCAAAGTAGAGGTATGTACTGTGGGAGCTAGAGGCGTCTCCAGAAGAAACCAGGTTGGAAATCAAGTATGATGGAGCAGGATGCTTTGTTGTTTTTTCTTTCTGGTTTTTTTTGGTTTTTTGTTGTTTTTTTTTTTTTTGTTTTGTTTTTTTGGTTTTTTTTGTTTGTTTTTTTTTTTTTGTTTTTTTTTTTGTTTTTTTTTTTTTTGTTTTGGTTTTTTTTGTTTTGTTTTTTAATCTGGCTTGTTCTTTGCTTTGGAGCTTTTCTATCTGCTTACGTGTTCCTCTGTATTCATGCAGGGCAAATCTCAGACCTTGGCAGTAAAGCGCAAGGCAGAGTCAGAGGAAGAGAAGGAGGAGCCGGCCAGTGTCACCACACTCATGCCTGCCAGGTCCTCTCCTGTAACAGACAACCCCAAAACCATGGAGGAGAAGAGTGGCCTTGGAGGTGAGGCACAAAGGAGAGCTCTGCTTGTCTGTGCTAATGACCTGAAGTAGGTAGAGCGAAGTTAGCTCATGCCTGTGCTGTTAACTTTCCAGATAATTCTGATCCTGCTGCCATTGCAACCCCAAATGCCACATCAAGTGAAGGAGTCTCAGCCACCCCCACCTCTGCTTCCACTCCAAACCTGGCATTGGTGTCACGTCAGATGGGAGACTCCAAACCTCCGCAAGCCATCGTCAAGCCCCAGATCCTCACACACATCATTGAAGGCTTTGTCATCCAGGAGGGAGCAGAGCCCTTTCCAGTAGGGATTTTTTTGTTGTGGGGGAAGGAGGTGTAGCACTTACTTGGGAGGGTGGTGGGCTTCCATCTTTGCATAGGAGTATCTTTCCCCATATTCCAATTCAGCATTTTTAGCCTGAGACACAGACAGTAAAGAGGAAGGGAAGGGAGGGCGGTGTCATGAATGAAGCAAGGCATTAAGAGGTGTCATTAAGGGGTTTGAAGGAGTAAAACAAGTGTTGCAGCAACTCTTACTCCAGTTGTCACCAAAGCAATAATTAATGCAGCAATTGTAAGGAGGCTCTCCTCTCTGTGAGGGAAAGATGCATTTTGAATAGGCAGTAAGTGAAGTTGAAGTAAAGAAGGGGAAATGGAGTTACGTGAAATTGGACATTATTCAAGGCAGATAGTGCTTGGGGACCTTTAAATGAACAACCAAGCCTGTGAGTCAGGAAGCAGTAATGACTTTTTTCAGCATCTCTCCTTCCCTATTAGATTCTTCTGAGTTGAATTTTGAGCTGCACATACCTTGGCAGAGGGTGGTGAACACAGGGAATCCTTTATTGGTGGGTCCAGCTCATTCTCTCCCTATCCAGGTGGGTTGTTCTCAGCTGCTGAAAGAATCTGAGAAACCACTGCAGGGAGAGGCTCCTTCTGGTCAGAATGAAAACCTGTCCAGCAATTCTCTGGGAGAGGACAGTGCTTCCATGGGTGAGTTTCAAGACCAGGAGGACTAGCTAGTGTTATAGAAAGTTACTGCTCTGTATTACTAGCTTAATGCATTATGGACTTGTATCTCTTCCTGCCAGCTCCTTAGAGACTTGACCTATGGAACTAGGGTCACACTTTTTTTGAGTGCCAAAAGACTGACAATGCTTTGTTTTTTTGTTGTTGTGAATATGATTTACACATCCTGTGTCAGTAGTAAGCAGGAGATTCTGAACTGTACCTGTCTTTAATGACTGTAAGCTGTGAAGGATGTGTGGACAGAGCAGAGTAATGGAGATTTCCTCCACAGCCTTGTAGGATGTGAGGAATATGCTATTTTTTGTTTGTTCCATTAAGTGGTACTGACCAGGAGAAAAAACCTGCTCTGTTCCATATCCATATCTTAATTAGTGGAGCTTGTGCTTCTCTTTTCCCAGTTGCTTCCCAAGCTAACTACTTACTAGATTCAGTAGAAAACAGTGCTTGGCATCTCTCTGCTCAGAAGAAGAGCAGTGGAATGGGGAATCACTGGGTGTGTGATATGCTTCAGTTCAGATTACCAACTGGTGTGTTGCTCTGTATCTCACTAGAGCTTGACAAGAAGGCAAACTTGTTGAAGTGTGAATATTGTGGGAAGTATGCCCCAGCAAGCCAGTTCCGTGGCTCCAAGAGGTTTTGTTCCATGACCTGTGCTAAAAGGTAATAACAGCAAGATGTAATATTCCTTATCTGTGACTATACGTTTGCTGGAACTGGGCACATGCCCCTTCTCCAAGTAGTGTACCACCTTTCAGTACATCTCATCCTCCTTCTGTGGCATGTACTGGCCACAGAGATCCTTTACCACTCTAAATTATTTTTAAATGCTTCTAGGTCTGGAGAGGTGGATGTGATGCTGGGTATAAACAGGATTTCTGGCTTGCTCAGAAAATGAACTGTGAAGGAGGAAATTCTGGGGCTGTAAAGAACCTCTCTTCAGAGAAATCTACATTTGACTGACTAAATAAATGCATACTGGTAGCTGTCTCATGCATTGGTACTAGACAAAGACACAAGGGAGCACTGGGGAAAAGTTAGACTAGTCATTGCTGCCTCTTGTTGATAGCAGAGTGCTTGTTATGGGTCTTTTTTCCCTTAGGGGAATTACTTAATTGACCCTTCAGATGTTAGATCAAGACTCTGGTGTCCAAATATTGCTTGTGTCAGAAGTCTGGACTGGTTCCTTCCAAGGGGAAGTCTTAGAAGGAGGAGGAACAGAACTTGATGGTAAAGAGGAGTCTTATCCCCATCTAGAGCAAGGAGAAGTAGTTGGTTTAGATAGTTGCTGCTTTCTAACTGCTGTTCTGCTTACTTGAGGTACAATGTCAGCTGCAGCCATCAGTTCCGGCTGCAGAGAAAGAAGATGAAGGAATTCCAGGAAGCCAACTATGCCCGTGTGCGCCGACGGGGACCACGGCGCAGCAGCTCCGAAATCGCTCGAACAAAGATCCAGGGCAAGCGCCACAGGGTAAGGACACACACCTGTCCAGGCAGGTCTGTGTAGGGTTTGTCCCTTCTGGCTGTACCACTTTGTCACAGTGGATGCAGTCATGCAGGATGTGCCGTGGGCATGCTGACACACTTGTTACAGAAGGCACAGGGAGCTGTTCCAATCCCTCATGGACTGCAGGAAGCATATTCACGTTCGTACTTGTTCTGTGCACTCTATGTTTGCTCCTGTGTGCATCTTGAAGGTCTCAGTGAGTGAGAGCTGCTGACAGCCTTGGCAGAAAACAATCCACTTTTCCCATTTGATTAGCAGTCTTTCACATGAATGACTTGAATTGGGCCATAGATGAATGGAATGAGCCTCAGTTCGGATGTGAGGAAGAGAGGGAGCTCTTGTGTCAGCTGCCCCTGTACCAACAGCCTGGGACGGTTGTTCCAGACTGTTGGGACAACTTCTGCTACTCCCAATGTCTTGTTTTGCAGCTTGTAATTGTGAATTTCTTACAAAACTCCTTTTATTTTCTTTCTTTCCTATGGGCTTGTAGGGCCAGGAAGACTCGAGCCGAGGCTCTGATAACTCCAGCTATGATGAAGCTTTGTCCCCTACATCTCCAGGACCCCTGTCAGTAAGGGCCAGTCATGGAGAGAGGGACCTGGCAAACTCTAATATGGCCCCCCCTACCCCAGATCTACATGGCATCAATCCAGTCTTCCTGTCGAGCAACCCTAGTCGTTGGAGTGTGGAGGAAGTGTACGAGTTCATTGCATCGTTGCAAGGTGAGGTTAAGATCCTCTCCTGCACTCCTGTGATCCAGTAGCATGGGGAGTTGGGCTCAGTGGCACCTACTGCTTTTGGACATGTTTCTGAAGTGGAGTACGTCATAGAGATGGATTCTCAACATTTATTTCTCAAGTAGCCTGTGTGCTCAAGGAGACTGTGGACTAGAGTGTGGAAAGGGGTTGGTTAGATTCCTAGCTTGCTTTTCTGTACCTGCCAGAGATGCAGGAGGAGTGAGGGGAGTGCCCAATGCACATGTGTTTCTCATTGCTTTCTTTTTTGCTTGCTTCACAGGGTGCCAAGAAATTGCTGAGGAATTTCGGTCACAGGAAATTGATGGTCAGGCCCTGTTGCTTCTGAAGGAGGAACATCTCATGAGTGCCATGAACATCAAGCTGGGACCAGCTCTCAAGATCTGTGCCAAGATCAATGTCCTCAAGGAGACCTAAGAACTCTGAAGCCAGAGGTCTCACTTTTGCTCTGACCCCAGGGCAGCTGCCAGTTTTGGAGCATCCTGCTGGGGTGGGGAAGAATGGGACAGTCCCCTGTGGTCTTGCATTCAAGAAGAATGAGAAGGAATTTAACTGATTGAAACTGCCATGCACAAGCCCATCTCTTGGTCTCTTAATGGTGCTACAAGGTTAAGGAAAACTGCCACCTGGGGCCTTTAAACAACTCTCCTTCTTCCTAATTTTGAATATGCCTCCCCTGTATACACCACATAACAATGTTAAGGGCATCTCTTTCTGTCCTAAAAGACTTCTCAAAGGGAACTGCCTTCAAGCCTTTCTGCCACAGCAGATATTAGCTTTGAATATCATTGCCAGAACTCAAGGCATAGGAAGAGCTGGCCCCACATGGACAGTGGGAGCACCTGTGCTCGGGGCTTTTGTGAAGGGGAACTAACAAATTGCAAGTGACAGAGGTGACAAGAATTTGAGCAAAAGGGGCTGCTGCTTTTTCACTTTTAAAAACACCTAGGCTGCTCATGAACTGGGTTTAATAGCCATTCCAGCATGCATACCAAACTTGAAGGCCTGTGGCAATAGGAGCTGTCTTGTCTTCACTCTGCATGTCTACAGGAGACAGTAAAGCTAAAGTGTTGTGGCAGCTATTCACTCCAGGTGCTCCTCTCAGAACCAGTCAGAGGATTTTTCCTGAGTACTTATGACAAATTGATGGGAAACTCAAAGGGGAGGGGATTGTTTTACATTAGGGAACGTTGCAGCACGAGGTTTGTCTTCCCATTGTGTTAGGGCATAATTTACAGATCCAAAGCAGCCTCCAGAAGCACCAAGGCTCTTCATGAAATGAGCTGGGGTTTTGTTTTGTGTGTTTTCTTACCAGTTTGTATTCTTTCCTTTTTGTGTCTGTCTTCGTTATCCTCAGGAGAGCTCAAAGGACAAAATTTAGGCTGACAGGATTGTACTGCTTGCCTCAGGCTTTTTTTTGTTTGTTTTTGTTGGGGTTTTTTTATGTTGTAAAACAAGTATTTCTGTTACAAGAAACCAAACACACACCCTAAAATAACTGAATACTGGTCTTTTAATATGACTTCTCATTTCAAAAGAGTGGGATTCATGTTACAGGCTGATTTTCTCCTACTCAGCCCCTCCAGGTTTGCTTAGGGGTTCTTTGGTTGTTTTATTTTTGTAAGGACCAAATGTGGTATTCTGCAGTTTTGTAGCCAAATTGCCAAAGGTGAAAACCTGGGCAGTTATTCTCTTCCACAAGCACCTCTACTTCAAACAGGCAAAATACCTGAAGGAGTTACACAAACTGTGAAGAGGTAAGTGCTCTCTAGAGCCAAATACCTGAGAGCAAGATGGTGTTATAAACCACGTATCTCAGCTTTTCTGTTTTCAGAAGTTTCACATGAATATTTGAGTGAAACTTAACACAGAGAACAGTCTTAAGCACCTACTGTTGCAGGAAAGCTGTAGTGGCATGGGAGAAAGCCTTATAGCATAGGTAGGAAAACATTAGAGATTTTTAAAATGAGCTCTTTATTGACCCGTTAGAAAAAGAGGAAGGAAAGTGCTTAGTAGTTGGATAAAATGTGGCAGCAGCTTCCTAGTCTTAACTGTGCTGCTGAATCTCACTTTGGTGACATCCTTTTTCATGTGAGAAGACTTCTGAGGCTTTGTGAATGCAAATAGGCCCAAAGGAAGCTGACTGTGCTTGCTTGCACCCACCCTGGCACCGCAGTTTGGTCTGATGTAATCTGGGGATAGGGGAGGGCGAGGTTACAATCAGCAGTGAGCAGAGGAAGGCTGCCCTTAAACCATTTTATCCTTAGCAGGCTGGCTGTGGTACAACTCCTGCTTAGTTTGACCCTTGGCAGGGTAGGCAGACAGGTAGCCTGCCACTGGTACCAGCTACTCCTGAGGACTGGATTTTATTTCAGTCAAATGGGAAGGCTTCACTTCTTCATTTCATGTTCAGTGTTCTTAATAAAAAAATGCTTGATCAGGCTTTGCAGGTCTGGCTGCTTTTTAACCCCTGAGTGTTTGGAAAGTACAAACCTCATCAGTAAGTTATTTCTGACTGCCATTTCTGCAGAAAAATGAAGAGCATAATCCATCCATCCTGAGCCTCTAAAGTTTCAGTTTTGAAAGATATGGATAGCCTTCCCTCAGAGGCCTTAGAGGACCTGGAGTGAAACAAGGTGGCAGCAAAAACAATGAACTAACAAGAACATTTTCATTACTGGCAGGAGTTCAGGCACAAGGCACCACACACTAACGACCCTTGACTTCTGGGTGAGAAAAAAGGTGCTCTGGCACCAAAGCAAGCTCTTGCTACACCAGCACAACACTTCACCAGGTTTTTTTGGTCACTTTATTTTTGAAAGTTGTGTTTTGTACAAAAAAAAATTACCTTAAGACACCACCATGAAAACAGTAACGGACTTACTGACTTCCTATTTTTCCCATGTTATGAGAAAGATTGAGACTGTAACAAAAGTCAAAGAAAGCAGGAATTGCTTGCCCACTCCAAACCCAGAAAGAAAGCAGGGCCACCCCTTTTCTCTCAGTGTCTTAAAAATACATAAACTTTGTCTGTACTCTGCTGTTAACACAGTGGTGGCTTGCTTATGCAGTCTCTGCCCCCCAGACTGAGGGCAGTTGTCAGCCAGTCCACACAGTGGGGTAGAATGGGATTGCTCAGTCTAGCCTCTCAAATAAAAAGCAATTTAGAATCAAGGTGCGAAGTTCCTGAAGGTTCCCATTAAGTCTACAACTCAAATGTACCTGCTTTTCACCAGGGCCCAAAGAGAAGGTCTTTCTCACTCCCAGCCAGTGGCAGTATGTTAAGTACCATCTGCACAGGGCAAGTGTCATAAGACCGGCCTGCACCATGCTTAAGGAGACAGTGATTTATGAAAGCTGACCATGTAAGAGTCCCTTATGCAGTTCTCAGTGTGTTAGCATTCTGAGCCGGGACTTCCATGGTTCCTTTGATATAAAAATAAATTCTGACAGCTTCATAGGAAAACCCTCTGCAAAACAAGGAACTTCTGGGGAGCGTGAAATCACAATGCTGACAGTGACTGAGGTGTGTGGGCAGTCACCTCAGGAAGCCTGTGTCAGAACTCAAGTGGCAGCTACCTGTCTCATTTTGTCTTGATGTCACTTTCAGTTTCAGGAAATGTTCCTTTTCCTTAGCAGCACATCTTTTCCTTTTGCTTCTCACTGATTGAGAAGACTGAGTCAATACTTTGACTGAAGTAAATATTTTGACTCCATTTAACTCCTATGGTTTTTCAGCATTGCCCCTCTCCAGTCTGAGAGGATGGCATGCATCCCTGCACAGCTGTTGAAGGAAACTGTTGAGAAGTTCACACCACTGCCATTAGGGAAACGAAAGATTGCAGAGGTGCTAATGCCTCTTCACCCCCAGAGTCTGGCATAGAGCACTTTGTGCCAGTTATGCTGCCAGAAATCATATAACAGCACAGAAGCTAGATAAGCTGAAAATGCATTCAGAGAAAAATAATTCCAGTGTCTTACAGATCCTGTAAACCCTAGGGAAAAAAAAATAAAAAGACACAGAATATCCCTTTTACAGTGTCAGCTGTTTTAACCCATAGCCTTTTTCCCTTTCTGCACCTATCCATGCCCCTTTTTTTCCTCTTAGTGATTCATCTCCCATTCCTGCTCCGTGCTGAACACTCATATTGCTGTTTTCTGCTCAACTGTCAACACTTCTCCCCTGGGCTCTGCTGCACTTTTAAAACCCAACCCAGCATTATATTTATAAGACATGCCATTAGGAACCAGTGCTGTTCACATCCAGAGGCATCCATGGGACTTGACACCAGGGACAGCGGAAGCAAACAGTGTAAAGAAAATCAGAAGTGAGAGAAGGAGAACTGGCTGGGAGGCACCTGGCTAAACAAGCACTGGGGAGATGGGGACAAAAGATCTTGGTGTGGAAAGCCTATCACATGGGCAGCAAGTGGTCATCCCGTTCTTCTGACTCCTCTCCCAGCTGGTCATCCCCCACGCCGCGGTACGCGGCTGGCGCGTTCCGAGGCTTGGATCGGCACACAAAGTCACAGCCATCCTACGAGCAAGGACACAGCACCAGCATCAGACTGTGTGCAATTGACTCAGCATCCACACCAAACCAAAGCAGCTCCTGCCATTTCTCTTTTGCTAAGGGATTATGCCTATCCTTGTGCTACCTGAAACATCTCCCCAAAACTTGGGAATAAAAAACATCCTACTCAGTCTTAAAAGCTCTGGACAGTTATGCAGCAACATCAGGCCACGGCAAGTATGGAGGATAAATAGCACTGCCTACAATGACCAAGGAAGGATTTCACAGTCAGAAGTAAGCATTTCAGTCCCCAGGTGAACATTTCTACCTGGAAAGTGTTAACTCCTGAGGAGCACATGTTCTAGTTTGTTAAGGAACAGTTGCAGGAAAGAGGCAGGGAATTGGTCTCAGCAAGGATTAAAACATGGCATACCCAAGAAAAAGGAAACAGACTCCCTCTTCTTCTGCTTCAAAGTACTTCACCCTGGTGGTAGGTCTACCCAAACCACACAGTCAATGCCCTTTTCTCCTAACATGGGCCAGGATGACTACATAAGAATTTTTACTCACTGCCACCAAATTGCCCAGATCTTGCCAGAAGGCAAAGTGAGGAATCTGCTCCATGCCCTTTGCTCCCACAACGAGGCGCTGGTAGAGGAACCCACCAACGATGTAGACTGCAATCAGTGACACAAACCTAAAAGGCAGAATTAAAAAAGAAAAGAAAAAAATCAAAGCTGAGGAAATCCTATAGAAAATCTCTTCTGAGCCAGCTACCTGCCTCACATTAGCATTGGAATAATGCTAGCACCACTCAAGAACAGAGCTGTAAACAGAAACCAGACCATAAAAGGTCCCCAGGTTATCAATCTGCTTGTATAAATCTTTTAGCAGCATTATATGAAGTAGTGCCTCTAAGCACAAACACAGAAAATGAGTCAAGACTCCTGGTCTGAGTTCCCAGCTCTGGCAAAGAGCCATCATATAATTTTAGGAAGTCCAATCTCTCATGCTTCAGTGCACTTGTCTGTAAGCTATAAAGGAAAACATTTACTGGGAACAGACCAGCCCAGCATCATGCCCTGAGCAAGAGCTTTTGTCCAAAAAGCTCAGAGGCATAGTAATATCTAATGGTGGCTGTGGGAAAGTACACTGCAGTAATTTAGTCTTACTATAGCATTTGTTACGTTTCTGAATAGCACTGGAGATTATGACTCAGGCACAAACAGCTCTTCAAATGACTTACGTGATCAGTAGAATGGAGCCAACACTGAGGTGGGAATTCTCAGCTGGACAAGCCACACTGCTGTCCATTTCAAAGAGGTAGAAACACTCCTGCTCCTTTTCCCGCTCTTCAGAAATAATGCTGAATGAACTCTGCAATTTGGGAAAAGTGAAAACGTGCCCATGCACACTGAACTTCACCGGGAGACAGTTTTATCACTGTTGGTGCAGCTGGGCACCAGACACTAGAGGCCAGCTCACTGTCCCCTCAAAACCCCTCTGCCCACAACCAGCCATTGGTCTGGCAGCCCCCTAATGCTCTCTCACCCCAGGTGTCACTCACCGCTGTCACTCCCCGCTTGCAAGAAATCATTATCACAGCTCGCCTCTTCTCACCACTGCAGTGCCTGCCGTATGAATCACCTCCTTTATAAATCAGCATGATCCAGTCACCTGCCAGGAGAGAAACAATACAGGCTACAGATCCACATCAGGAGGCGAAAGGCAGCTACTGAGTAAGCCAAGTACTGAGTGGAACCGTACTTCCATTGAAGACCTGGGTTTCATTGATTCTTCCGATCACCGTGGTCTTTCCACTATGTTTATCTGTTTGCACCAGGCCACCAAAGTCATGTGAGGTGCTGTTGACCTCCCTGCACACCCTGAAATGGTAGATGTAGTTTTCTGTTTTGCCCTTCTCCACAGTCACGTTAAACCTGCAGCAGGGAAAGACAGAAAAGACAGTCCATTGCATTACAAAGAACACTCAGAGCAGTGGGCACTTCAGACCACGAAGCCCATCAGAGACCTTCCTAAGAGGGGGAGTCCATTCTGCAGCCTGACCCAAATCCTCCCTTCCCCATGGCCCACTGTGCAGCCCCAAAGCCTGCAGGTGTTGTGCTGTACCTCATGTGGCTCAGGGGCTCCAGTTTCTTCAGCAGGGCTCTCTCCATCTGCGACTCACTGCTCTCATCACCAACCACATCACAGCTCCTCTCTTCTGACTGCTCGGCCCCCGCTACAGCCAGGGCCACAAAGACCAGCAGCAAGGCAGAGGTATGGCAAGGTGGTGACATCCTGGACACATGCCACAGAGAACACAGGATTAACTTCAGAAAGGATTAGTTTCAGTCCCCTGCAAACTAACTTCAGGGTCATGGAGTCAATGATTAGCCACTTCCTGAGTCCTGATTGCAAAAAGGAGAAGTTGAAATCTAGAAACAACTCACAGTTCACAGGAGACACTAAATCTGAATCTCCTGGGCAGCAAAAGACAATTCACTGAGCCAATTTGGGGCTCTCTTATGAATTTGCCTTGAGACCACAAAAATTTGTGCTGCTGAGCACATTAATTAGCTGCCAGAGCAGAGTCCAGCAGACTGAATGCTGGAGTAAATTTCAGCCATAATCCACTGTTTGTTATCACATTGCACTGAGAAGCCAGTCAGCAGAAAATTATTTATGAGGCCTCTAATCAATCATCTTCACAGCTCTCGTGTAAAGAGCTCACAGGGAAGAGCCACTGTGATTAGTCAGGCTCTGTTTGTTCAAGTGCCTTAATCTTTATAATGATCTTTTCAGTACTCCTTTAACTGAAAATCTGAAAGACATTAATAATGCTAAACTGCAACTTCACGAAGCAGTTTCTTCCTTCCCTTCCTTCCCAGTTTCCACCAGGGAAGGAAAAAAGCAAGGCATTGTATGCAAGATCCAATCAACAAGGCAGTAATGAAGATAATAACAGTAATAATTAATAATAATAGCAATAATAATAACAACAACAATAATAATAATCTATGAGATTTGGCCTTCAGGTTCAGGCTAAAAT